AAATATCTATTCAACAACTGGTTTCTGCCTAAAAAGTAAAAAAAGAGGAGGAAAATGACTTTGCTGCCCACTCTGCTGCACATTCCCAGCTCCCAGGAGTGCAGGGGCTGCGTGTCCCTGGTGCAGTGCCCAGATGGGCAAGGGTAGTGCTTAGAGCTTGTTTTTCAAGGAACAGAGCTGGAGGTTTCTGCCTCAGCCCCTTCTCAGTCCCTCTCAGCATTTCCCCCCCAGCTCGTAAAGCCTCTGTGTTCCTGCTCAGCGCCTTGGCCGGACCCTGAGAGCTGTCTCAGGGGGGTTCTTTGTTGGGGCTCTGGGTTTGGGGGTTTTGGCTGTGGAGGTTTATCTTTGCCTTCTGGAAGGCTGGAATTCAGCCTCGCTCTTGGCATTGTCATCCCTCTGCTTTATATATGGCTCCTGCTGGAAAACATCCTGGGATTGCCCGAATTTCAGCCCACTGCCAAACCTCTGCAGGAGCAGGACTGGTGGCAGGGAAGAACTGGCAATCCCAAGGCTTCATCGCTCTGGCTCCTTCAGGGAACTTCTCTCCTGATGTGTGACTTGAGGGCTGAGCTCATCCTGGTCTCCTCTGAGAGCTCCCCAGCCACAGGGATGCTCTGTGCTGGAGGACATGCCAGAAGTTTCAGGAGCCATGGAAGGAGTCAGAGTCCCCACAATCATTCAGATCCAAAAGGATTTGGAAGCCTAAAACTCTCCACACATCCCCAAACTGCCTATATAACTATGACCCAGAACAGTGGCACGGAAGCAAAGGAATGACTCTGCCTGTCCAACAGTGCCAGCCTTATATTTTCCATTCAATTTATTTCCTTTTTGATTTTACCTTTGTGATACTGAAGCTTTGTCCCATCTGGCACAGCCAAACCCACCTCCCAGCTGTAAAAAACGTCAGCTCCCTCCCTCTTGGGTGTTGCAGCCTCCTTGCTGTGCTCTAACCCATCACTACCTTCCAGCTCTAAGGGGCAAGGTGGCTTTTTCCTGGCTTTTTTGGCTTTCTTCTCGCTTCCCCTCATCAACTCGTTTGCCAAGCAGTGTAATTTTACTGCCTGGTTTAGAAGGAGCCAAGAAATACGTTTGCTGGTGTAAGCTGTGCATTAGACGTCGTGAAAAACATGCAGCTTCAGGGTTTTTAGGAGCCAGCTCCAGGGAACAGCGAAACTCCCACCGAGCAGCAGGACTTGCCTTCCCCACATGGCACTTCCATCCTCCCTCCTCCTCAAAACCACAAGTTCTTTAGGGTATGGGCATGCTCTACCCTGATGATTCCATGGAACCAAGAATAACCGAGTCCAGAGCTCAGCTGGGGTCTCCAAGACCCTCCAAGACCTCTTCTTCTCCCCTGCAGATACTGACAGCCACATTTTGGATTTGAATTCTCCTGAACATTGGGTGCTTCAGATCCACATGTGTATTTTTGAGGCTCAGACCACAACACTACTACAAAAAACCAGCCAATCACAGAATCATTAAGATTGGAAAAGACCTTTAAGGTCACCAGTGTGGAGGACACACACATGCTCTTGCTGTCCCTGCCTTGCCTGATGGGACCCTGTGCAACACCCTGGGGACAGTCTCCAACCCTGAGCTCGCTGCTGGGAAGCTCTTCCACAGCCTGTCCAGGGAACAAGCAGCTGATGGGATCAGGCTGTAAAATCTTGGATGACATCTTGTCTCCCATCACCTTTGATCCTGGTGAAGGTGCTCTGTGTGCTGCAATCTGACTGAGGACTGCTCTGTGCACAGATCTCCTGCAAAAACTGCCACCACAGCTGACAATCCCAAACCTCCTCCCCAAACTGGTGCTAAGGACAGTGAATAATGACCTTTCTGATGGGAACTGGCTGGCATTCAACCCACTCCTTGACTTTTTAGGAAAGAGTATTTACTTGCAATAAGTAAGACTCTTTGATTCATGCGAGATAAAAATGTAGCTAAAGGGGGAGGTTTCTGGAAGCTCAAGATACAGGGGCTTGTATCAGAGCAGGGACAGCCCAAACTGGGCTCACAGCAACATCACTGCACATGGACCATCCAAACCGTGGGGTGTCCTAACTCCTCAGGTCTGGTGAGGACATGGGTGGGTGGACGAGCACGGGAAGGGGACAAAGACTTGCCTACAGTCAGCATCACCCAAACCTCCCCTATGGTAGGTGGCCCAGGATGGTGCAGCAGACTGGGACCAGCACGGTCTGCCTATGGCATGACTGGCACAACCCCATGGGAATCCAGTGAGGGACAGACATCCATCCCCCTCCGTGCCGGCGGGATGCCCAATCCCTCCTCCCTGACATTTCCAAACTCACTAAGCCTTTTTCCTTACAAACGTGAACTAGGCAAGAAGAATAAGTTCACACTTGGAAAGAAACCTACTTTTTTTCTTTAAAGCCCAACTTTTTTTGGGTTCCTGACAAAGCAATATTCTCCAGGCCAGTTGGAATCTGGAAAAATACACTCACTCAACCTAGCCACCATGACTCCAATAACAATTATAAAATGTCCAATAAAACTTGCATGTAATGTCAATTCAAATCTTGAAAAGCAGAATTAAGTGGTATATCAACATTAAACTTTATTGCTTCCTTTGCAGAGCAGAAGTATTGTCAATAAAAGTCATTCTGAATGAAGAAAAGGGCAGTAAATATTAAATAAACAGGTTTTTGTTGAAATGCTATAAATGCACCAGAGCTGCATTTTACACTAGGACCCTTTCTGCCTCTGCAGACTCCCCTCACGATAGAAATGAGTCAGTAATTGCCAACTATCAATAAAGTGCCAATTAAAGGGTGGTTGATGCCTGCATTTACTCCTTGTCATTAGGAGCCTTTATTGTATGTACTTGGCTTTTTCAGGTCCCTCTGGCTCCGTCTGACGTCCCCCAGCACACACAGGGTTGTTCTGCTCATTAGGGGCCCTGGGAGGAGCCATGAGGACGTTGGAGACAACAAGGCTGTGAGCCCTGGACGGGGCTTGGCAGGGATGAAACAACCCTGAGCTGAGAAGGGGATGAGCGAGGAGCACTGATAGAATCCTGGAATGGTTTGGGTTGGAAAGGACAATAAAGACCATCCACAGTTCAATCCACTTGCCATGGGCAGGGACATGTTCCACTAGACCAGGTTGCTCCAAGCCCCATCCAACCTGGCATGGAACACTTCCAGGGATGGGGCAGCCACAGCTTCTCTGGACCACCTGTACCAGTGCCTCACCACCCTCACAGGGAAGAATTTCTTCCCAATATCTAATCTAAACCTGCCCTCCTTCAGCTGAATGAGATCAGGCTGGCTGTTCATGAAGTTTCTTCTGGCAGAGATGTGAAGACAAAGCATCACCACCTCAGTCCACTATGGTACGATTTATGTGCCAATGCAGAAGTGAGCAGAGCAGGACAGCCCTGTCCCGAGAGTGCTGTGCCAAAGCCTGGAATTTGGCAACGTGGTTTGCTTTATGTTGGGCTACTCCCCATGGTGTGTTCTGCTCCTTCTCAGGTCTATTCACCTTAGGAAGAGCCATCCCCATCCCCTCTGCACTTCTCTACACACTAAAGTATTTTTACTCACAATTCCTGCTTTCTAATCCAATCTCCACGGTGTCTCAACACACTCCTACTTCTGCAACAAGCAGCCAACAGAAACAGGAGGTTTTGCTTTGTCCATGAGAGAAAATAGAGGAGTTTTTTTAGGGTTGTGCAGAATGAAATTCTCCCAGTGACACCCAAAACCTCATGTGCGATGTTCATTGCAAACACAACTGGCACCTCATGGAGTGATGCCCTAAGACCTCCCTGGCTCAAAACTCTCCTGTCCCACTGCTGGGACCTCCAGCTGCCTCAGATCCACCCTAAGCAACCAAACATAACCCCAAAAGCTGTGCAGGGGTACAAAGTGATATTTAGTAGCACTCAGACACAACAGGAAGCATTTTGGAAGCAGAAGGAGTGGGCAAATCTGTGAGGGCACAAACCCTGTGGCTTTTATGTCAGACCTTTAAAACCTGATCAGCATTTTTGTGGTTTACCAAGGGAGTTTATAAGCTGTTCTCCAGTTTAATTGTCACATAGATTTACAGGAAGCAGTAACAGCTACTGAGTATGAATTTCATGATGCTGAAATGATGCTGAACAAACAGGGCAGGCAGCAAGGGCTGAAAGCTGAGTGGTTGGGAGTCACAGGGGTTTAATGAGCTCTTTGAATTCTGCTGGGGCAGAAATGAGAGAAATCAGATGGTGTCTAGCAAAGTATATATGCAGGAGCTTCTGTCCTTTGACTTTTGCACAGATATTTAAAAAAGCACCCAAAAAATCAAGTGGAATGTGAACATCATTCATTTTCCAAGGTATTATTTTCACTGTGAACCTCAGCTCAGTTTATCTGTGGTTGTGAAAAGCAGCTCGAACATTTTCAGGAATAAAGAACAGGTCTAAAATGTTAAATACATAAGAATCTCTTCAAAGGGTGAAAGGTGCCTATAAAAATTAGCTTCTGGAGAAACTGCAAGTATTCACCTCAGCCATCGGAGCTGTAGGATCAGACCCTTTGCACTAATCCTAACACTTCTGTGCCATCTGGAAACCAAAACAACATCCTGGGAATCAAACCTCCAGCAAAGCTCTAAGAGCAGCCACACCAGCATGAACCACCTGAGAGCCAACAGTTCATGGCTGTGAATCACCTTGATTCACTTGAGCCTGAACTCCTGACCTGGCTTCTGAGTCAGTTCCTCTGGACACGGCTCGGAGGAGATGGGCTCTGGGGAATCCCCCCACTGCTCCTGCCACATCACTGCTCCTGCCACATGTGCCCACATCCTTGCTGCTGGCTGCAGAGCCAGCATGAGGAATGTGTGCCTGTACTTTGGCCACCCAGGTGCCAGCACACCTACAGCCTCAGGTGCAGGCACTGGGAGTGGCTTTACACCCCTCAAACATGTTCTACTCCATCCTCAGTGAAGATATTTCCTTAGGAAGCAAACCAGGAGCATCTCACCTGGAAGAGAATCTGCAAGAGGCCATGGAGGATGCACATGCGTCGTCCCAGGAAGAGAAAGAAGGGCACCACCAACTCGATGAAGTGATTGACCAGGGTCTCAAACTGGTGGAACCACCACGGCGAGCGGTGCATGTAGTAGGCGATGGGGTTGGGCACCGGCTGTGTCTGAAAGATGGAAGGAAAAAGGAATCAATTCCCCTCCAACACTTGTTATCAACGGCAACTACAGAATTTTGGCCTCTTTCCTTATTTCTATCCCCAAGTTTTCTCTCAGGAGAACCATCCTTTGCCTCTAGGAACACATTTCTTTGTAGAGAAAATTTCCTCATTCAAGCTTTTTCATGCAAACCCAACACATATTTTAACCAAGACATCTTTAAAAAACCAAGAGTTTTAATTTTCCCTTTTATCATCATAACCAAAACCCATCTTAAATTAAACCCACTATTATTAAATACTGAAATATTACACATAGCTTGACACCAAGGGATGTTAAACTGCTCTGCAGGAGTGAAGATCATGGGAGCAATTGAGCAGATACAGAAACTGAGACAAAGATTTCCTCAGGGTCATGCACTGGGTCAAACAGAGCCAGGAATGGAAACCAGATTTCAAAAACTAGGAGATCTTCTTTCAAAATGTTTAAATTTGAAATAAATGTGGTGGTAGAGTTGCTTTCCAAAATCATAATTTGGAAGAGGAAAGTGTAATTCCTCTAAACATGTTATACTGGTTAAGGTATTTACACATTGGCCTTGGGACAATATTATTCTTTTATCAGCCTGAAATTTTTTGGATCCTGGAAGATTTTCCATCCAGTACAATAAAGCTGCAAATTTTACAAAGGAAACAAAACCAAATCCTGATATGTTAATAAATGTCACCCCAAGAAATCCCACAATTTTAGTAAAAATAAATCAATTTATCTCAGCGTATCTGACAGGCTCAAATTCATTAGTATTGTTTGAAAACTGTGACCAAAAAAAAGAGAGAGGTTGAAAATGCAAATGTTAATTGAAGGAGACACAACACATCTTTAAATTATTTGTAGTTCAATCAAAAATACAAACAAAACAGGGAAAATCCTGGAGGATGCATGGCAACCGAGCATGCTCCCACTGCCAAATCCCACAACTATTGTAATTCCTTATTAGCAAAGCTGGGATTAATAAAGCTGTTGCTTTATATGGGTTTGAGGCTGCTGTAACCCCTTAGGACAGGAGACCGCATCCTTCCTTCCTCGGACACCGGCGCCGGATGGAGCAGTGTTGGGGTCAAGGAGCTCTGCCAAGTCCACTGCAGCAAGGGGTGGGAGGTCAGGGCAGCCCCAGGTGCCACCCAGGGTCCTTCCCCTCTGCATGGGACCTGGTTTGAGTTAGTTTGCTTGTTGGACTGCTCTGCAGCATTCCCAGAACACCAGGGAGACTCACAAAGAGATTTTTTTACCTTGATCCCAAATTGCTGAGAAATGCTTTTATCCTTCCCAAAAGGCAGGTTGTTTCTTGGCTCTCTGTGTTAAGTGTTTTTTAAAGTCTTTTAACCAAAACTGACTCAGCTGAGGGATCAGTCCTACAGGTTGTAACACTCAGCACTTACAGCCAGGTACCACGGAGAACAGACATTACTATATGTGTAATTACACCTCTATTACATATGTAATTAATGCATTCATATGTATCAATCTTGATTGCTGTTTGTGCTGGGACTCAAGATATTGCCCCCTCAAACTGCTGCTTTTAAGGGCAGAAAGAGAAAATTCCTGCCCCAAGTCCCAGTGCAGCAGGGCAAGAAGCAGAAGGAAGTTCAAGGCCAGACTGGATGGGACTTAGAGCAACCTGGGCTAGTGCCCATAGCAGGGGGGGTGGAATGAGAGGTCTTTAAGGTCTTTCCAACTCAAACCAGTTTGGGATTCCATGATTCTGTATGTAAACCAAAACACAGCGATAGAGAAGTGATTCACACATAGCAGATACTCTTTAAAAGCTGCTGGGGGAGATCTGTGTGTGTGTGTGTGTGTGTGTGTGTTCCTCCCAATGCCTTCCAGATGCTGTGATCACGGGTGCAGCACGGCACAGGTTTCCTGGGGAGAAAGCTGTGTTTACTCGGGATGGGGCGTTGAGGCAAGAGCAAAGACCCAGAGCAATGTGTGAAACCCTGAATGCTGGAAAACCTCCTGGTTTCTTTTTGTGCCTGAGTCAATTGCTGCCCAGCGGTGCTGGGCACATCTAACACCCTGACCAGTGGGTCCCAATAGGTCGGGGAGGGCACCCAGAGCACATTGCTGGGGTTAGAGAGGAAACTTGTCCCACACGCGTTATTCCAGGGCAGTCACATCCTACAGAAGCATCGTGGTGGCGTCAGAGGTGGCTGTGTCAGAGCCCAGGAGGAGGGAAAAGAGTTCCAGGATCACCTCACACAGCGTGTTTCTGGGATTTTGAGCTTTACACTTTGCTTGTGGCTCAGCAAGGAGAATCACAGAATCTCAGAAAGGTTTGGGTAGGAAGGGACCTTAAAGACCATCTACTTCCAATCCATGCCATGGGCAGGGATACCTTTCACTAGACCAGATTGCTCCAAGTCCTGTTCAACCTGGCCTTGGACACTTCCAGGGATGGAGCAGCCACAGCTTCTCTGCTCTGAGCAAGCTAGTGCCTCAGCACCCTCACAGAGAGTAAACATTTTCTTCCCATCATCTAATCTAAACCTCCTCTCTGTCAGTGTGAGCCATCCCCCCTCATCCCAACACTTGAGTTCCTGATGAAGAGTCCCTCTCCAACTCTTCATCCTAAAAAGCATCCCAGAAGCATCCAGGAATTCCCTTACATCCAGACCTGTGACCTCCTGACACACACAGACATGGAAAAATGCAGCTTAAACATTTTCTTCCCATCATCTAATCTAAACCTCCTCTCTGTCAGTGTGAGCCATCCCCCCTCATCCCAACACTTGAGTTCCTGATGAAGAGTCCCTCTCCAACTCTTCATCCTAAAAAGCATCCCAGAAGCATCCAGGAATTCCCTTACATCCAGACCTGTGACCTCCTGACACACACAGACATGGAAAAATGCAGCTTCAGATCAGATGCAACTCAATAAACAATCCCAAGGCAGATGCCCAGCGAGAGGGAGCGAGTGGAGCCCTGGGCTTGGAGCAGCCTCATTTCAGGTACCTCTGTGAGACATAAAATGTTTTTAAATCAAAAAACAATTAGCAAACCCCAACTTTATGTGTCAGTACAAGGTGCAATATAACAACCTTTCTGCCTCCCTCCCACCTCCAGCAGCCGGAGAAAAACTGCTGCTGCAAATGCGTTTGGAAATCAGATTGGGGAAAATGAATTCCATAATTCACGGGGCAGATTTGTAAGGTGTGAGCGTGGGGCAGAGCTCGGCGGGGGCTGCCCAAGGCATTCTGGGTCGCCAGCTAAGGCATGTACTCTGGCTTGTATTGACCAGGTTTTATGAGGGCTGGTAACAGATTCTAAAAATATGCACAATAAACTGTTTTTACTCCCTAAGGGGTCGATGGTTTAATTATGTTCTTAGTGAGAACCATTAAAGTGCTAAGTACCTGAAGACTCCTAATTTACTAAACTATATGCTACTAAAACCCAACAGAAGGCTATTATACACCAGAGTGAACGCTCGTCTCTGGGACTGTAAATGCACACGGTCTCTCCTCTCAGCCTCCTTATTGCTGTGGCATTACATAAACTCCAACGGAGTATTTAATCCCAGTGTTAGATAGCTCAGCTCAGCCTAGGGAAATCTCCAGGCTCTCCTACACGTGTGCAGGAAAACAAGTCCCACATTGTCCTCAAACAACCCATGCTCAGACAGGGCTGGGGCTTGGAGCAACCCGGGCTAGTGGAAGATGTCCCTGCCCATGGCAGGGGGTGGAATAAGATGAGCTTTAAGGTCCCTTCCAACCCAAACCATTCGAGGATTCTTTGTTAGTTTCATAGGACAGCTCCCATGCAAGCAGCTGTACCACACTCAGAAGGGAATAATTTCTTCCTGATATGAAATCTGAACCTGCTCTCTGTCAGTGTGAAGCCATTCCACTCTGTTTTATGGAATCATAGAATATAATCCCACTTCACCCCCAAAATAGGTTCAGTGAACACATCAGTAACAGCTTGTGGGCACTGCAGGATCCCACAGCCAGAAGAGAGAGAAAGCCTTTGGCACACATGGCCAGGTGTGAGGAGCAGCAGCACCCTGGAAAACCAGGCTGAGAAGTATTATTAAATGTTTTTCTGAGTGTTTGTGGAAGGTCCAGATGAACTGCAAAGCTCATTTCTCCAGCTTCCCAAGCACTGAGGCATGAACTCATCTTCTCAGCTTCAAAGAAAAGTTCTTGGTTCTCTTGTTCTTCGGACCAAAAAATAAAATGGATTCTCCATCGTGGAGAATAAATATGCTCCATCGTGGAGCATAATTTGATCAACGTGATCCAACAGGCAGTTTCTCTGCCAGTCTGTTCTGCTTCAGATCTTGACCCTTCCTCCTTATGCATCTGCAGATCAAAGCTCCACGTTCCCAAGCCCGAGCAGGAACGGCTTCCCAGCCCCGTGTGAAGACACAGCGAGCAGAGAGGAGATAAATGGGGTCACTCACAGCTGCTGGGAAGTGTGGGAAGATGAGTGTCTTGACTAAAGTCAGATCTTCTCGTGCTGTACAGTAACCAAGGACTCCTGCAAAACACCCTTCTTGGAAGAGGGGGGATTATGGAAAGCTGTAGCCTCCTCGATGGTGAGGCATTGTGGTAGGGGCTCCTCATGAGCAGCAACCTTGATTAATGAGCAACACTGTGATTTTGCACAAAGATACACATGTAGGG